GCTCACCCGAGCGCAGGTTGGTCATGGTGGAGGGCAACTGGAGGTAGGCAGGGTTGTGGGTGGTGACACCGATCTCGATGGAGCCAGCCCACTTGTCCACCATCTTGTCGATGCGCACCTGGAACACCTCTCCGTCCCGCAGGGCTCTGCTGCTCAGCACTACGCCGTGATTGAAGTCATCGGTGGCACTGAGGGCACAGCACGTGGGGCCTCAGGCACGAGCGCGCGCTCTGAGCACGCCGCACCCCGGCCCGGTCGGTGCCTGCCTGACTCCTGCTGCCCCCAATCCACCTGCTGACCTTCGCCGTCCCGGAGGCTCCCCCCCTTCTCTGTCACGACGGTCCCGCTCAGAATCCCGCCGCCCCCCGCGTCCACGCCCCTCCCGCAAGCCCGTTAGAGCCCCTTCTGCGGGCTTCTCCCCACCCCCTGGGCCATACTGGGGCCTCAAGGCGGTGCGTCCCTCGTGGGTGATAGCCGCCTTCTGCCCGCAGTTCGGGTGGAAGAGCAGGCGCTCGGGCTCGGCCTGAGCGGCGGGGGCGGCGCGGCGGAGGGCGCCCTCGGGAGACAGGGCCCGCAGGATGGCGTTGTTCCGGCGCAGACGGTCGCTGTGGTTGTTATTATGGACGATGGTCACCTTCACCGCCATCCCGTACAAGTCCACCACTCCATACACCACCGGGGGCGTCAGCGGGGTGGCCACGCCTGTGGGGGTGGAAGGCAAAGGAAGGGGTCAGACACAGGGACACCAGCCTCAAAGAGAGGCAGGAGTGCGAGGACCAGACCCCTGCACCGAGCGCCCTGGCCGCGCGGCCCCTACCCTGATCGATGCCGTTAATGAAGAAATGCAGGGCAGAGTTGGACTTCCTCGTGAGACCGATGTGGTCGCCCTCCTGGTCAAAGCAGAAAAGACGAAAGTCTGGAATCTATCCCCGGTCAGGCTCCAGACTTGTCCTGGGGACCCTGGAACAACGCGGTCCTAAAGCCTGCCCGCCAGCCCAGGCCGCAGGGGAACTGCTCCCAAGGTGCCGGAGTCACAGAGCCGCCCCGAACGCTCACTCCGAGGCCAGCGCTGCATTGAGCCATCTCATAAACATCACCCCATCTACCTCCCAAAGGAGTCTAGAAAATACTAACAGGCTCATTTTATTTTTTT